TCTCTCTCTCTCTCTCTCTCTCTCTCTCTCCATTGAACCCAAGGATACTTAACCACTGAGCCACATTCCCAGCCCTTTTTACTTTGAGACAGGTTCTTGTTATGTTGCTGAGGCTGGCTCTGAACTTGCAATTCTCCTGCATCAGTCTCCTGAGTTGCTGGAATTACAGGTGGGAACCAACATGCCTGGCTATTACCAAGTTTTAATGTTTGGCCAACAGTAGTGGTAACTGGGTGCTAAACACTTGATGTAATATTTTATGTTCATGTTGGATATGTTCTAGCACATAATAAAGGCAAGATATCTATAACTAAACAAGACCCAAAGTCAAATTACCTTGATAGGTAATTTTAGGACTTTCTCATAAAATTAAAAGTCACAGAGGGAATCAATATCCTCAAGAAAAACAATTGCTTTTGCTTGCCATTATGAAAAGAACAACCCACTTACTTAAAAAGTTTCCCACATTGAGCTGGGCATGGTGGCACATTCCTGTAATCCCAGAAGCTTAAGAGGATGAAGCAGGAGGATCAGAATTCAAAACCAGCCTCAGTGACAGTGAGGCACTAAGCAAGTCAGTGAGACCCTGCTTCTAAATAAAATACAGGGGGAAAAAGGGGGTTGGGGATGTAGCTCAGTGGTTGAGTTCAATCCCTAGTATCCCCCGCTCAAAAAAAAAAAAATAGTTTTCCCACATTGTTTCTGAACTTTTAAAATTGTATGCAGAGTCTGAATTAACAATTAATACAGGTCTAACATTGTTTTCAAATATGAATGGTCATCCACCTATAGTATCTCACTTTACATTGAAAAATACATATAATTTAGATGTATTGGTATATATTTACCATCAAAGAAACTGAATAAGCAATAACATAAATCCAGTATGTTTATAGTTTGAACTCTTTGAGGCATGTTTGGTATTTCACCTGATTATTTCAGAACATTTTTTTCATAAATGGCTTTATCACTCTGAAATAATGCGATTAGATTTGGCGCTGCTTCTGAAATAAGATCCTGATAATGGCCTTTCGAATCTGCTTGGTCTTCACACTGTAGATGATAGGGTTGAGTACAGGAGGGATGAGCAGGAAGACATTGGCCATGATGGTGTGGACAAATGGAGGTGCTGAATGGCCGTAGCGGTGGATAAGAGACAAGCTGATGAGAGGGATGTAGAAGATGGCAACAGCGCTGATGTGGGATACACAGGTGTTGAAGGCTTTCCGCCGCTCCTCTGAGGAAGCAATGCTGAGAACAGATCGGATGATGAGAATATAAGAGAGCAAGATGCAAGGGCAGTCAAACCCTGTAGTGGAGAAGAGTGCAAACAGACCGAGGATGCTGTTGATTCTGTTATCTGTGCAAGAGAGCTGAATGAGATCCACATGGTAGCAGTAAGAATGGGAAAGGACCAAAGAACTGCAGAAGGTCAGCCTCTTGACAAAGAGCACGACTGGCAACATGACAGCAACATTCCTTATCAACATGATTACCCCAATCTGGGCAATCCTGGCATTGGTGAGGATGGTAGTGTATCTCAGTGGGTCACAGATGGCTACAAAGCGATCAAAGGCCATGGCCAGCAGAACCCCAGACTCCATAAAAGTAAACCCGTGGAGAAAGAACATCTGGGCAATGCAAGCATTTAAGTTGATCTCTCGGGCTTCAAACCAGAGAACACCAAGGGTAGTGGAAAGTGTGCACAGGGATAAGCTGAGGTCGGTGGCTGAAAGCATGGAGAGGAAATAATACATGGGCTCGTGGAGGCTCTGCTCACCGAGGACCACCAACAGAATCATACTGTTTCCAGAGAGCGCGATGACATAGAGGAGACAAAAGGGAATGGAGATCCAGACCTGGCCTGCTCTCAGGCCTGGGATACCCGTCAGGAAGAAGATCAGAGGGGGAGCATTGGTACTATTGAAGACCAACATAGTGAAGGACTGCGAAGACAGGGATATTTGAATAATGGAACACAACACATAATAAATATATAACTTATCACTTAACACATCTTTCTGGCACTCCAAGTTTCACTAAATTATTATTACTAATTCTCAAAGAACTTTACTATTTTCTGAGTTTCCTAGAGCTGCAACCTTCTCTCTCATTCTCTCAATGTTTCACTTGAATAGGAAGGAGAATAATTTTATGCATTTTCTCAGCTTTATATTTCACCTATATTATGACGAATTTCTAATAAATATCTGAATGCCAGTTCTGGTTTCCAGTTTCCAGACCTGAATTTAGAACTTTCTTCTAGGCATTTCCATATGGATTTTCCCAGATAAAACAAACAATATGTTCAAAAGCAAATTGATCACTTTCTTCTAGAACTGCCCATTATTCTATTAGTATAAAACTTAAAATTTTCACAAAAATGATCCAATTATCACAATTCTTTGTTTTTTAACCCCTTCCAATTAATTACCATGTATTTTCTACTTTACCTCTAATATTTCTCTCTTGGTCTACCTCAGCTTTAGCTGAGTACAAAACTATATCTTATAAATCTTGACATAGTCTAACTGGACTACTAAATTAGCTGGAAAATAATAATAATTTGTTATTTTATTTGTATAATAATAATTACATAATAATATAAATGGCAAGGACTTTAAAGCAATAACAACTTCCATTTATTAGCATTTTCTCTCTGCCAGAAAAATTATATAATTGAGAAAAAGAACCTTTAAAGAAGAATAGCAATAAGATAACCACTTGTGATCTTTGAAGTACCTGAAGATTATCCATTAGAAAACCAGAATGGAAATATTAATTATCTACATTTGCAATAAGAGAAGCTAGGAAAATATTTTTTAAAACATCAAAAGAAGAAATTCATGGAAATAAAGATAAAAACGAATTAGTTAACAACAAAACCAGAGCCGATTAATTTTTTAAAATAACTTATTTCAAGACTCATCCAGGAAATTTTTTAAAAGCACAAAAAATTAAAAAATATAACAAAACTAGAGAGAAATATTCCATTAAGCATACTTAAATAGTATGCATAATTATAGCAATATATTTGACATCATGTATATGGTAGATAATTTTATAGGAAAATATCAATCAACAAACTAGTTTAGAAAATAAAATCCCAATAAAGACTCAAGTCATGTACTGTGACTTGGGACAAAGACCATGTATTTTGATTTAAATAAACAAAATGAGTGTTTTATCTATTACAATTCATAAAGCAGGGAAGAGAGGACACATGGTGCCCCAGGGGTTATTTGGTTATGCCTAGGAACACTTTTCATTATCATAACTAGGAAGGGAGTGTTACTGACAGTTAGTGCGTAGAGGCCAGGAGTGCTCCTAAAATTCACAAGACAGCCCCTTACAACAGAGAAATGTCCACCCCAAAATATCTATAGTACCAAGATTGAAAAATTCTAGAGAATATGAAAAGATAGAAAGTTACTCATCTAGTCACTTATGAAGGGAGATACAAACACTATTAATATGATATTTGCAACTCAGTACAACTCTTTTAAAAATAATAGTTCATATTTATTTATACTACAGACCTTGTCTTATGAATAAAAAAATTACTCAAATTAAGAAATCTATCAATGGTGTGATTATATGAGTAAATATAAGAAGAAACATGATTTTCTTAAGAGATGAGAGAAATCCAGGAAATTCAACAGGGATTCATGAAAAAATTGTGAATAGGAAGTAAGTTTTTCAGTGAGGAGTATCTTCCAGAAATTCAGAGCAAACATGAATATTAGTGAAATATCTACTAAAAGAATTTTCATTCAAAGTTTGTTTTCATTAAAATGAGATAACACATAAACTATTACAACTATTATTCAACATTTTTAGATAGTAACAGCAAAGAAGAAAGGTAAGCTAATAGGAAGAAAATGTATTATCTTGAAAAGAAATTTTAAAAGTCTTTATTAAGGTTTTTATTGATTTTTTTTTCTGAAAACCCTAAAAAAATACTATAAACTCAAACTAGAATTGATAAGAGTAACTAGATAAAAATCAAAATTACAAATTAATAGATTTTTATAAAATTCATCACTTTGAGAAAATTTTATAGAAATAGGCTTTATTCACATGAGTTGTAAAGCTAGAAAAGTTATTGCTATTAAGTTCATGTTATGCAGCAGAGGGAGGTCTGTAATAATATACTAAGGAACTTTAAGAATTATCCTTATTTCTTAATTCCCCTCTTGAACCCAGGATTCTGCCATAGTAAATGTATAGGAATTTTCCCCTTAACACATAAATTCAAAGCATTATTTATCAATAACATTTAAGAATTTTAATTGAAAATAATAGATCCTACAGTATAGTAAGCACTATGAATATGCAAACCTGTTTATTAAAATGCTGAGACAACAAAGAGAGTGGGCTGGCCCTTTAACATATCAGAATATAATATAAAGCTAATGAAACTAATGAGGTATATTACTGACAGAGGTATAAGAATATGTATTCCAAGAAAAGAGTATTCCTTCCCTAAAAATGCAAATATGAGTGACAATGGTATCTTCTAGCATTAGAAAAACAGAACAGATTATGTGATTAAAGGATTTGTCCAATCAGCTACCACCTTTTTTAGAGTATGAACTCTATTTTACAGTTATTTCCTGTGTTTGCATTAACATTTATGAGATGTGCACCCACACAAAACCATACAAAACTACTAAAATGCTTTTATTAAAGTCACTAAGTAAAATACTAATATCAAACACTGCATCAAACTCAAATACCACTGATTAGGAAAGATATGCATAAACAAAAAGAAGCAGAGCATGTTCTTGTATTGGAGCACCAAGACCAGAGAATGCAGATGTTTCTAGTCAAAAGTAATAGTCTAAATTAAAGTACAGAAAGTGATATAGAAACAGAAGCTTTGAACATATTTTTTAAGACAAAATAAACAAGATTTGGCAAAGCTATGCAAAGCTAGAGGTGGGGTCAAAAACAAAATAAAAACCACAACATGATATACAACATGGAATGGGACAGCCAAGGACAGAAAAGTCAGTAAACGCATGGTTAAACATGGTTAAACCCCCTCTACTGGGCTGGGTTTTGGCTCAGCTGTAGAGTGCTCGCCTAATGCCTGCAGGCCCTGGGTTCAATCCATAGCACCACATAAAAATAAATAAATTAAATAAAATAAAGGTATTGTGTCCAACTACAACTGAAAAATAAATATTTTTTTTAAAAAACTCCCTCTACTAAGAAGATAAAAAATGTCCCCCACAAACTCATCATTCACCAGCTTGGTGATAAAATAAACATAAAAATGCCTGAATTTTGATCTTAGCTGTTGGAGCCAACATAAATTTGCAAACAACTCAATACACAGATTCTACCTTATGGATTTTTCTTTTAAAATTATTAATAAAAAGTAGACAAAATTAGTGTTTGTGAACCATTCCCATACAGTTAGAATCATCATCATTCATTTTTAAAAAATATGAAGACAAGCAGGGCTGGGTGATGCACACCTGTAATCCCAGCAAATAGGGAGGCTTGAGACAGAAGAATCAAAAGTTCAAGGCCAGCCTCAGCAACTTAGCAAGGACTTAAGCAACGTTATTGAGATCTTGTCATAAAATTAAAAAAAAATAAATTAATTAAAAGGTTGGGATGTAGCTAAGTGGCAAAGTACCCCTGAGTTTAATCCCTATACAAAAATAAAATAAAGCCAAAATCCCAGCAAACAAAAAATAAATCCAATATCTGGGGATAGTATCCCACATATTTCTATTAAGCTGGATATGTCTATTATTGCTGTTGTTATTGTTGTTGTTGTTTTTAGGTTTTTGTTGGGGGGTAGTAATGTTCTGTGGTTTGATTGATGGTAGGGCAGACTCAGAGGGCTACAATACTAAATATAGATGTCAGTATCCAGAAGTTTTGTTCATGGAAGAAATTGGAATACATGATTATTCTGGCCAAGGAAAATAATAAACATAAAGATAGAACTCTGTACCCTTGTTGAATACAAGTAGGAACTTGATAACTCATTACCATCTATGGTCTTTTACCTATAAACCCTGGACTTTAAAAATATCCCTGGTCTGCCTATTTCCAGTTAATTCCATGCTGGTTAAAAATGTGAAGATTTATTTGAGGGACATCCTTCTAAATATGAATAGGTACTATTAAGAGAGTCAGAGAGAGCTCGGAATACTAGGATCCTATAGAAATACAGAGCTGATGCCAAGTAATATGCCTACAAAAACTTATTTTATAACAAATAGGGACAAATAATAAATAAGCTAATTTAAAAGCTGAGTAAAGCAGAAATAAAATATACAATAAATATCATATTTAAGACCACTGCAAATCACAATAAGACTACCCAATTCCCTTGACATACTGGGCTTTGAGTTTTCTGGAAAAAAAAAATATGTAGTTGCAAGTATCTTGCTTGATCTCACTTAATCCCACAACCTTCCGCTTGAGCCTGTTACTCTGAACTCCTCTCCCCAGTATTTCTACCCTTCACTCTGATTCACAGTCCTTTGCCTCTAAGCACCTACATCACCCCTCTGCATCCCTATTTCTCTACTCTACCCCTCCCCTCCTCCCTATCTAGCATTCCACAGTCTCTTTCTTATGGGCTTCCTCTTTAGGTCCTAGTATCTTACCTCGCTCCAACAGAGGAGAGAAGACCTCTCCACTATCCAGACAGTCAGCTATATGTATGTCTGGCTCATCGACCTGGTCCTCTTAAAAGGATCACATAATGTAGTACAACCCTGCTGCTAAGAGACACTGAGGACTTCATGCTAATTGTGACAGCTAAAATTTCCCAGGAGACTCCTCACATGAGACTGAAACAGGTCAAAATAATGTTTGCATCTCTTTTTAACTATTTTATTATCTTTCCAATGTTTTCAAATATAATGTTCTTTATTACTTAATTGTATTTAGATTTTAATTCCTAAAATTGAAAGTCTGGAGAATGAATGTCCCCGTATTTCTTTCCTTTCTTCCCCATTTTCCAAATTTAGTCACCTATAGCATAATATTTTCCTAAACAAGATACATAAC